GAACGGTGGCACTTGCAGGTGTGACCGAAAGGTGGACGGATACGAATGTGAATGCACTTCTGAATACACGGGACTAAATTGTACCGAGGTACGGTGACTATTTTTCAGATTAGCGATTCCATAGAAGAAAAAACAAATTAACTCGTGTACACAATATATCTCTGATAACTTAATAAGAATACGCAAAATGTTTTCAGTATACCACTGTCTTAAATTTATGTCAGAATTGAGCACAATTTATAACCGGTAAATTTTTGCAGTTGATGCCCATTGCATTTATTAAAATTAATTACGCTCTTGCGTTTTATGTTTTTATTACTCGACAGTTTTACTTTCTTATAAATAATATTGATTAAAACTAACAATTAATAAAAAATTATTTTTATACTAATGTGTTTAATCAATATTTTTTAGCGGGAGTACTTATTTAGTAGCCAAGCCATCGACATAGCAGTGATCGTTGGTCCAATTGTGGGCTGTTTTTTTCTCATCATCATCAGCTTTCTCACAGCGCTCTTCATGATGGCAAGAAAGAAACGCGCTACACGCGGCACGTATAGTCCGAGTGCTCAGGAATTCAGTAATCGTCGAGTGGAAATGGATAATGTGATGAAACCTCTTATGGAGGAAAGATTGATCTAATCGATCGGTGATTGGTGAGCTGTAATCTAAATTAAAAAGAATGCAGATGAGCCTTGATATGTGGAAACTATTTTACAGAGGCACGCGCAGATTTTGCGTAAATTGTGCAATTCTGTTTGGTGGTCTAAAGTTAAATCAAATTGCTGCGAATAAATGAGACAACATTCTGATAAAGAAATAAAATTAGACAAAATTACATTTTTCTGAAATTAAATTTATTATCGTGATATAAATTGGAATCAATATTGTATTTTTTATCTCATTTTTTATCAATCTTAATATTATATTTATCAAGAATTGTGACATTGATTTTAATTCTTAATTAATAGTTAATTTTTTAATTTTGATGCGATTTAGATGGATTTGGTATGTCGTTGCAAAAATGAAACGTTTCCACATATCGAGAATAATTTGCACAACTTGGAGTCCCGAAACTTGATTCGCCATTGCGAA